TAGGTAAGATGAATTTGACTGTCAGACGAGCGAGCAACCACCTGCCGAAGCGCCATTTCTGAAGTCAGGTGACCACGGGAATCGCCGCAGCGTCTGGAGCGGCAGTTGTGTGAGTCGAGCCTGACAGGTGATTAGCTAGACAGACGGGCGTAGGCGGCGGGGATATATCCGCACTTGTAGGCAGCGGTGAGCCTTCGTGCAATGATCGTCTGTGTGGGTTGTGTTATCACGATCTTCCCGGTCGTGTCTGTTTTTCATGTAAACCGAATTAACCGAGTACTGCAGAGGGCTTGTGCTTAAACATGTAGTAGAAAGACTATCGGCCGTGGGCCATCTTTGCGGTCTGTTTATGATCTATTGGCGAGAGAACGTCGAGACAAGAACAGGGAGACTGAGCGGAGTGGCCATCCTGGGAGGCTTTCATGTCTACGCGTGCAACAGCCCTGATATTCCCCTCTGGTTTAAGTTGCCAGTCGAAGCAATTACCTGGGCGTTGCTGCAGTGCGGCACACAGTCCCAAGGAAGCAAAAATGACAGTTGCATGTGTCAGGGGGGGGAGGTTGAGTGGGAAAGTATCACGCGCATCGAGGCCCGTGGAACGACCCTCCACTCCAAGGGCTTGTATCTCACTCCCTGTATACCACTCACAACCCAAACACAGCTTATTTACGTTCTTTAGTTTAACAGATTTTGTAAAGATAATGCTTTGATCACCCACTCTCACCCCTTCCCCCACTGCCATCACTTTACAGAGTATAGCGATCAAACCGGGATCTGCTGTCTACTCGAACTGGGTCAGCCCCGACACGCCAGTCTTGTTTTCAATCTATCTCTTCAACATCACCAACAGAAAGGAAATACTGGCCGGACAGAAACCACGTGTACAGGAGATTGGACCTTATGTCTACAGGTGAGAAAATTTCGGTAGCAATTTTGCCAAACCGTGATTACTGTTGTCCATTGCAAATGCAAAAGCAGGGCTTATACCATAAAAAAACAAAGAGAACGCTGGATGATGCATTGAGGAGGTGAACCCTCTGCGTCATGCAGCGGCGAAACAGGCGTGTCTGAGCTCTTAGCTAGGAGCTGCGCTGTCAGTTGGATGCATAATTAAGTACAGTGGGGCGTCAGTTAACAAGCTTACTCCATTCCAGTACCGAGCTCGTCATGTGAAACGTTTGTCTTTCGAAACAGTTCACTGATTGGCTGCAGGCGACCGAAGACTCACGCTCTGGGAGCAAGACTCAACGGCGGATACAGGCACACACGCATCGACAACTCCTTAACTGAACGGAAAGTTTTTTAAAGCTTCTTCTCCCTGGTGCAATCTTGAAGATTGTGTAAATAGCAAAATTTATTGGATCCATTAATTTCGAGAATGCTCATCAGTTGCTTCCTCTCGTTGCGCAACGGGGATAACGTCAGAAAAAATACAAAATTGAATTTCTACAAAAAATCGATACAAACAGCAAGGTCTCAAGAAATGGCCAAGAGGCAATCAATAACGTAAGGAAGTTGAACGCTTTGGGCGGAAAACACGGAGTAAAAACGTCTAAGACAAAAAAGGTTGGGAAGTGGGATGTGTAAACAGGGAGCCGGCATTACCACGACAGAGTTAGGTTCACCACATGCTCCAGTTGTTTACATAGGTTGGGTTTAAACCGCGGTATGTAGGCTGCCTCCAGGTAGCGTAAGGTAAGAGTTGTTCGTGCCCGAACAACTGCTCGGAAAGAGGTTTTGGGGTCCACTAAGTGGCCCCTATCTAGCAGATGTTCAGTAATTGATGAGCGTGGAGTTCTGTTTTCTTACTTCAAAAACCAGTTCAGTTAGTGCTCCTTGGCTTTTGGGGGCCAATTGCGTTTGCGTTCGCCCTATGTACCTGCATCCGCAAGTGCATGCAAATTCATAAATATAGATTGAAGTGGCGTGCATCGGCAAGGCGTCCTTCGCACGAGGAATTGGTAAGAGCTTGTTTGGATTGCAAATTATAAGTTCAGCAGCATAATGTGTCCTTTCAATGGCATTAAGTAGCCGTCTCTTTATGGTATTGAAAATGTTGTCGTCCCTAAAGGGCAAGGATATGAAAACGGGAAGGTCTTAAATCCAAAGAAAGTTTCTGCGAGTGGCTCGCTCGTTACCAGAAATGCTCGTAGATGAAGCTGCTCGTCACCTGAGGCTCTACTGCATTTCTATAATACGGATTTTCCGTGGGCAGCCTGCTGTTATTTCGCAGCAGCTAGCATATTTCAGCCTAGATATTCCGTGTCGAGCATGAAAAGATTTGTTTCACTCACTGATTTCCGAGAAATCTAATTCCTTTACTTTTATCGTCACACTACAGTGGCGTTCTGTAGCTATCGCGGCGAGAAGTGTTCGTACGACTCTACCAACGAACACAATGGGCAGGCACGGTGGCCTTGTGGGGCAGAGCAAATTAAAGGACGGCAATGGGCGCCACCGCGTTGGCAATAAATATAAATGTGTATGCCTACCGTCGTCGTCGTCGTCGTCGTTCAAGTGCAATGTTTTTTTAGCACTGAATTTCGTAGGGCCACGCAATCACTTGTCGGTGCAGTTGCTATTCATTTTGCCCTTCGATTCCTACCTTGAATTATCGTTGTTGGTAATCTTGCGGGGCTATGCCGCGGCTAGCTGGCTTGCTGACTCCGACCGATAAGGCAGAAGTTAAAATTCCGGCCATACTCGCCTTTCCTGGGCACCCTTAGTGACCACTCACGTTAACCAATTAACCGTGCGAACGGACACCTGCAAACAGATTAATACCATCAGTAGTTATGCTTGCCAATAGCAATTAATTGGGGAATTTTATCGCAGTAGCTGAAGTTAATACTCAGAACCCTTGCTGCTGCGATCTTCAGGCCCGGTTCCGGAAGGGAAGAGAAGAAGTGAGGCGCCAGCTGGACGGAATAGTTTATTCTGTACGGAAGCAATGGAGAATAGGTGGGAGGAAGTTGACTTTCGGACGAACGTAGGCTTGCACTTAAGCGGGGCAGTGTCCGAAGTGTCTGAGCGTGGCAGTCATCACAGTGGTAAAAGCGGTCTTTGAAACACTCAGTGATGAGAGTTCACTGACCGCTAATGGAATTCACTTGTTCCGCTCTGCTTTGGACCGCATTTCTCGGGCCTTGACAGCAGCCGTTGCAGCAGTCGTACAAGCAGACTAGAATGACCATTTATGGTTTACTACCTGTCGCTAGTTAGTCCTACCCAACCCCAATTTGCGCATCATTCGAGGCTCGAACTCACTACCATTTTGATGAGACTCTAACGCGCTAACCATTGAGCCACGAGCTCGTTGTCTCGTCGGTTTAGGCCGAGATATATTAGCAGTCGTTGATGTACGTTCACCGAACGCTAACGGTCTTAGTATAGATCATAATTGAAGGTGATCGGCCAGACAGGATTGAGGTCGTCAGTAGTGCGCGCACACGTGCTAGCAGCCAC